TCAGTGCCATTGTAACTTCGGTTACTAAATGAAACCGTTGTAAGTCGAGGACCACCTGTAAAACCGGGAGCTCTTTAATTTCTGGGAAACCCATCAGTCCCTTTCCTCCTTCGGGGTATTTTCCGAAATAACTGGGGGTTGGAGTGAGATGATACCCATAAGGCACTTCCTGGGGGTGGGGGCCCGCCAGGTTGGTGAAACTGCTATAGATTCCTCCAAAATGGCAACCAGCAAAGCAGTCTGGGAGTTGTAGTTCAGAAACCTGAGGCCACCAGACACCTCACCTATAAACTACCGCTAATCCTTGTTTTATGACCGTTTTGGGGGCCCGACGGTCATTAGTCAGGGCGATTGATAAGCAGGTCATCACGGGACCGATTGTACAAGCTCTTTAAAGTGGCTGCCGTTAAACACCTCGATCCTTAAGCAAAACCATTGCCCGTTATGGAGCATTTTGGGTAGTTTTTGATAAAAAAAATGATGTCAATTGTAGTTGTGTGATTGTGGGACAAAGCAAAGGGGCTGAGTTGCGGTCCGGTGACCACCAAGGAGGGGAGCGTGATCGGAACTCGGAGCCCAGGTCATATATATGAATCTTGGGCCTGCGGTAACATCAGGCCATTGCTAAGCAGAACGGTTGTAAGTCGAGGACAACCTGTATTATATGCCAGCCACCTCTATCCCCTGAGCTACACTGGGGAAAACACAGGTGTGTGGCAGGCACATTTCGCACTCAGAACCTGGTTTCAGAAAGAAGTGAGGTGCTTCCAAACCTCACAATCTTTTGTGTAGGCCACAAAACCCGGCTCCAAATAGCCCCACCCTGTGCGCTTTTTAAAATAAACAGGATCAATGGCAAACCGAGATTGCCAGCAGGAAACCTAGAATCTAGGTTAGGTTGACCTCACCCATCCATCCTGTGCGTTTTTAACAAACCAGGGTCGATGGTAAACTGAGATTACTGACAAGAAATGCAGAATCTAGGTTACGTTGACCTTACTCATCCACTTTTTAACAAACCAGGATAATGGCAGAGATTGCCAGCAGGAAATATGGAATCTAAGTTGACCTACCCATCGACCCTGTGTGCTTTTAACAAACCAGGATTGGTGGCAAACAGAGATTGCCAGGAGGAAACAAGGAATCTAAGTTATCTTGACCTCAACTGTCCATTCTGTGCATTTTTAAACAAACCAAGATTGATGGCAAACAGATTGCACGCAGGAAATGTGGAATCTAGGGTTATGTAGACCACACCCATCCTTAGGGGGAAAGGATTAACCTGGGGTGGCCACCATTTTGACTTTTGTGACCTAAACGCCCTCCCCAATGCCCCCGATCAAAACAGAAGACCTGTTTTTTGGGGTGAAAGACCCCTCCCCCACAATTTAACTCTACAACTGGCAATCTCCCCCCCCCGCCCCCCCGTCTCACTTCGTACAGTGTAAGTGACCGACTTGGCAGTGCCCGACGGCTCAAACTCCAGATTAAAGCCGAACTGGCCAGGATAATCTTCGGCGAATGGGAAGACGCAGCTCTCCGCAGCCCCGTAATCTTTGGGGGAACAGAGTAGAAAGTTGGGGTCCCCCGAGAAGTTGCCCAAACCCAAGTTGATGCCAAAGTCTACTCCCCCTGGATAGCCTTCGGACAGAGGAGCCAACGGAGAATCGGTCGCCGTAGCCAACAAGCCAAAGTTGGCTTGACCCATGGAGCTGCCCCCTTCCTCGGAGAACGGAATGATGGCTGGTTGGGTGGAAGCCACCAACGTCGATTCCTAAAACATACAAATGTAATTATATCAGTGGTGGGAACACGGAAATATAGGACAGATTAGGGCAGGGGGCAGCTGGCGGGGGCCAACTAATCGCCGGAACAACCGGATCGCTCAAACCGTTCCAAACCGCCTGAATACCACCCCTTGAGGCATACCAAGATGTTACGGAATGACCCACAAACATTCCTACACCTTAGTAGTTGCCATAATTTTTTTTTAAAAAGGGGTGTGGGAGGAAATCTGGAAGACCAGGCAGCAGTTGGAAAGCGGAAGTACGTTCCAACTCTTTATCTTTAAAAGAGTACAACTAAAATACCAGAGCTTTTGCCTGCGAATATATTTAGTTGGAGAACACGATTGATGATATCCAGCCTGTGAACGTGCTCAATTGGAGAATCTGGCTTATGACATACCCGAGGGGGGCGGGGAAGGAGGGAAACAGGGTCACAGGTGACTGTAAATTACGTATGCCAGAGTTGGCTTCATCTAGGTTAATGCCAGCATGTCGCTCCTAAAAAAATCTTTTGAAGTTTGGCTCGAGAATCATGATTTAATTAGGGTGATTGCTGGAATCCTGACATTTACATGAAATTTTCATGTTGATATGACATGTTAACATGTTGCTTTGAACGATGGTTTTCCTGATTTGACAAACCAACGATTCCGGGCATTTTGGCGCCCAATAAGCCACAAATCGTGGTTTAGTCAATATACATTACATACCTTGTAACCTAGTTGACAAGGTAGTGCTTGCTTCTGTTTGGGGAGACAACTGAGGCAAAAAGAGCGGGTAAATCCGTATTGTTAATCCGCGGTGCTGGCTGGGGAATTCTGGGAATTGAAGTCCCACAACCCCGCAATGGCTGAAAAGGAATTTCACACTCACCAAAATCGGATTGACGATGGAGGACGTCCACATCTCCTCAAAGGTCCCTTGGCTGAGGGGTGGGCTCAGCATTGGGTCGATGTCTTCCTCCGCGACTTCCTCCATGTTCATTCTTCTCTCCGATGGGGAAACTGAGGCAAGGAACGAAAGAGGTGGAAGCAAATGTCAAATCTCGTTCACCCCATCTGAAATGGAAACCATTTTGGCGCCAGTAATGTAATTCCCTTCTTGTAGGGGGGCGGGGGGGGGGGGGGAGATGCGGCAGGACTACAAACCCCAGGATTCCCTGCCACTCACAACATGGCGAAGGGAGACCAAAGAATTCTGGGAGCTGCCACGAAGAGCAGCTTGGGAGGCTGATGTATTTATTTTTATGGTGTATAAAAACCAAGTTATAAATCTGGCCAACTCACAACTGTGAGCGGCTAACAATTTTTTTAAAAAAACCCAAAACACCATCATACAGGTAGTCCTCGACTTACGGCCGCAACGGAGCCCTGGTTTTCTGTCACTAAGCGAGACCATGAAGTGAATTTTGCCCCATTTGTGCTATAAATTTCTGTCGCTAAACAAGACATAGGTTGGGGTTTGCCCCATTTTACGACATTTCTTTCAAGAGTTGTTAAAGGAATCAGTGCGGTGGTTAACTCAGTAATGCCGTTGTTAAGTGGATCTGACTTCCTTGTTGACTTTGCTCATCAGAAGGTCACAAAAGGGATCACACGACCCTAAAACAGTCGTAAATATGAGTCAGTTGCCAAGGCTCCCAATTTTGATCACAGGGAATGCAGCAACGGTCATAAGTGTGAAACACAGTCATAAGTCACCTTTTTCAGTGCCATTGTCACTAAATGAACTGTTGAGGACTACCTCAGAGAGTACTCAACATACGACCATAATGGAGCCCCAAATTTCCATTAAGTGAGGCAGTTGTTCAGCGAATTTTGCTTCACCTTATGACCGCTATTAAAGTGAATCACTGCAGTTCTTAATTTAATAACCCGGTTTTTAAGTGAATCTGGCATCCCTGTTTGGCTTCTCAGAAGGTCACAAAAGGAGGTCATGTGACACCCCCCCCCCCCCAAGGACATTGCAATCGTCATAAATATGAATCAGTTGCCAAGCTGTTGAAT